GATTATATTGGATAAATGCATTAATGATATTTGTAATGAGTTTACATTTTCAGCTTGATTGTCAGAGAGCTTTGAAATAGCATGGAAGCCCTGGCTCCAATTAATTAATTAATTATTAAGTTTATATCCCACCTTCAGTACAGCAGCTGAAAGTGGCAGACATTGCGTTCCCTCCTGCTATTTTTCACCACAACAACAACCCTGGGAAGGTAGGTTGGGCTGAAAGAGAAGGACTGGCCCCAAGTCCCCCAGGGATCTTCTGTGGCTGAAGGGGGACTAGAACCTGGGCCTCCCTGCTCCCAGTCCAGCACCTTCACTACAGCACTACAATGGCACTTAGGGAAAGACTGGTCTAAAGTCACCTAAAGAACTTCCATAGCTGAGAGCTGACTTCAATCTGGGTTTCCTCATGCCTAGACCGCAACAGCAACCTGGCTTTCCAAACTAATTAGCTTTCCTGCCTATATAGATTTATATGCACAACATACAGATGTATGTATCACTTCTTCCACAAATCTCCATACAACAAACCTGCAGGGTAGGTTCAGCTGAGATAGAGTGGCCCAAAGTTGACTAGTGGGCTTCCAGGGCTGAGGGTGGACTTAAACCTGGGTCTCCCCACTCCTGGTCCAGCACCTTCACCACTACTCCAAACTGGTTCTTGGGCTGAGAGGGAGGGGCTGGCCCAAGGTCACCTAGGGAGCTTCCATGGCTGAAGGAGGACTAGAACCTGGGTCTCCCTGTTCACAGACCAGCACCTTCACCCCTACCTCACATTGGCTCTTGGGCTGAGACAGACTGGGCCAAGGTCACCCAGAGAGCTTCCATAGCTGAAGGTGGACTTGAATCTGGGTCTCCCCACTCCTAGTCCAGCACCTTCATCACTATTCCAATCTGGTTCTTGGGCCGAGAGGGAGGCACTGGCCCAAGGTCACCTAGGGAGCTTCCATGGCTGAGGACAGACTTGAACCTGGGGCACCCCAGAGCTTGTCTAATATTTTTGTTTTGTCTTTGTTTAGAGGAATGGGTTAGATTCAAGAAGCATTCTTAGAAAATAAAAATGGAAATCCATGCAGTGTGCGTTCTCCTGTCCAGAAGCAAAGAGAAACTAGAGGGATGGGCAGTGTCCTCAGGGACAATGGCAGTGGCAGAGAACAATGTTACCAGCTTGCTTACATGCCCCTTCAAATTCTAAACTCACCTGCCATCCCCCAAATTGCCTTCTTCTGGCATAAAGCATAGTTTGAAACCACAGTGGTTGGGTTCCTGTACCACACTAACCCAAAACCAAAGAAACCAACATTCTGGGTTAGAATCTCAGCCCTCTCAAGATGAGGCTAACAGCTAGGACCGGGCAATGTCTTGGATTCAATGCCAAAAGGAGGCTTTGGAGTGCAATGGAGGGTTAGCACAGCATTTGCAGGAGACTTATTAAAGCAGCCAGGTCTGCTCCCGGACTGTGCTTTAATGAGCGGCTGTCTCACGCTCCCTCGCATTCGGAAGCATCTTTGGGAATCCAGCCCGAAGCACTGGGTAGCCCTAGTAATAACAACGGCCTCATGTGCCTGTGCAAGGTGTGCCAAAGTAACCTACGTGACATGCTTTGAAGGCCTAAGCTGTAGGTTGCAGGAAGTCAGGGCTGCGGTTCCAGGAGGGGAAACAAACAGCTGCTAATAAGGAGTTGGGAGCACCAAGCCCTTTCTCGGCTACCACAACGCAGCAGGCTGGGCTGCAGGATAAACAGGTGCTTTGTCCTTCCCTGGAGCTTTGCTGCTGCCTCGTAATCCCACCGGATCCAAAGAAGCGCTGTGCACAGCCCTATTAAGCATCCTGTCTCGAAGGCTAGTCTTGTCTGCAACTGTTTCTGTAAGGCAGGCAGGAGGCAACCTGAACCCTCCAGAGGTTCCTAAGCTGCAACTTTTATTCCTTCTCACCACCAGCCACACTGAGAGAGCAGCAGGCCTGGGGGGAAAAATGGAGAAACTAAGAAAAAAAGAGAGATCTTCCCCCAAAGAAACAGGGGAGAAAAATGGGGAAAACATGTTACAGTATTTGATTTATTTACTTTGTTCTGCTTTGAAGCCACCTGATTCGTTTTTCTCCTGAATTTCCCTTTGCAACGGTAAGAATTGAAGCTAGCAAACTAATCCAGGCCCATAAAATAGCACTGGGATTTTAGTACAAATACACACCAAATCCTATGGATTCTCTGTTGCCCGGGTCTTTAGACAGGAACCACCCTTTATCCATCTGCACAGGCTTGGAGTGCAGAAAGCTCCAGCTTCACTCCTTGGCATCTGCCACTGCTAGAAGGCACTGGGCTAAACCAGAAGAAATGATTGGGGAGATCTGATTGCTTTCTTGAAACCTCCACAGAGGGGTCATGCTGAAAATAAAGATTTGTTCTTTTTGCTCCAGTGGACAGGACCAAGATCAGGAGACAAAACGGCAGGGAAACAGGTTTTGGAGAGAAACTTTCTAAGCGTAAACACTGTTTGGAAAGAGTTGGTGGGCTTTTCTTCACTGGAAGTGCTTAGGCAAAACCTGGCATCCACTGAAGAGCTGCAAGTGCCCTGAACTGCAGATCCAACTTGGAGTAGGTGATTCAATCTGAGACTTCCTTCAAATGTGATAAAACAATCTTTGTTCAAGAACTCTGAAAGCAGCCTGACAAAGTAAACATGCTTTAAAGGTAGGCCAATGGACAGACTTCCTTTTTTCCCCTTATGTTAACTGGGCTCAGCACTGCAAAGCAGTGTTATTCAACTTGGGTCTGCCAGATATACTGGATTCCAACCCCCATCATTCCCAGTAGCAATGGAACAGGGCATGAAATTGGAAAAGGCTGGCTAGATGATTGCAGTCACAAAGGGAGATGGTATACAGAGGTTTCGTAGTTCAGATTCCCCCCTAAAACACAACGATGGAACTGGATTCACACAACCTGCTTTATCTGTTTACTGAATTAACCCATTTTCTGGGTTTACCCAATGTACTGAACCATGAGTGAATTGAATAGCTGAGGTTCACACAACTTATTGGGGGGGGGAACCCCTGAAGTTAAACTTCATCAAACTTAGCATGCCATGTCAACACAGCTTCCACCTTTGTAACTGACCTGGGTTCAGTATGTTGTGTGAAGAGTCAACAGTGAAAAGTCCCATAGATGCATCTTTTCTTTCCTGGTCTATGCCATTGTAACTATGTGAAGAGTAATATTAGAAAAGGGACCTTATCTGTCGATAAATAAAACAACTAAATCATTAAGATAAGAGAACTGAGAAGGCTTGATGAATATCCCCAGTCCCACTCCCTACATCCCCAAGATAATTGTCCTCCTACAAACAAGGATCTGCATTGTGTGTTGATTCCTGCCCATCCCTAATTCTAAATACTTGGGTGAGTTTACAAACATGCAAATAGCATTCTCATTGACCCAAATCCACACTACAGATTCTGCAACTGACATTTCTCACTGTGCCTCTGATTAATTCAGGCTTCCCCATCTTGGTGCCCTCCAGACGTTGCAGGGCACCTTTATCAATTTCTGGGTGTTGTGATCCCAAACACATCTGGAGGGCACCAGATTGGAGAAGGCGGTGCAAACCCTTTAGGAAAGTCTGGATCATCCTGCAATGAGTCACGAGCCGTAAGCCCCCGACTTTCAACCGTGCAGTTCTCAGACCCTTTCAGGTTCTTAGGACAGCGGTTCTCAAAGGGGGTCTGCGAAGTACAATAAATAAATGTCTTAAAATTCCTCAGTTTTCATTTCTAACCCAGTACATATCGATAGATATAACACATAAACCAAAGCTCTTTGGGGTCCTCCATTTGAATGTAAAGGGGTCCCAAGACCAAAATGTTTGAGAACTGTGGTCTGAGAATACTTCTTTGCAAAAACACAGTGCATCCAATTTAAGACACCTCCTTCCAAGCCCCCTTCATCTCAGCTTTTCCATTCGGGGTTTTAAAAAATCAGAGTTTAAAAACATCAGAGAAGAAATCAAAGGATCAGAGTTTAAAAAATCACTGCCTGTGTTTCATCGCAATGCCTTGCATCTTTTCTCAGCAGCGAGCCAGCTCAGGGGCCCTGAACATCCAGGGGCCCCAGGATTCCTGCTTTGACCTACTTGGGTCTGGCATTCAGTTGGTGTCCGGTTCACACAACACCCCGAACAAGGGCAGCCCCCAACCTAACAGCAGAGCACGCTCTGTTTAATTGGTTTACCTTTACTTCGTTTCTTTTTTTCTTTTCTTTTCTTTTTCACGGGATGAATTAGCCCGCCGGGTGAGTTTACAGCTCAAAAACACTGCGAAACCCAGAAAATGGGTGCATGCCGCAATCAGGACAGGGTGTCACGTGAATACAGCCATCCATGCCTACTGTATGGACACACGTTGCGTATACCCCCTTCCGGAGTTACACACGCGCGCCGCATCCCCGAGCGATGCCCCTTCGGAACTCACCCGCACGCCCGGGCCGGCTTCCGCTAGGAAAACTTCGCCAAAGCCAGGCCGATCCCGTTTCCTGGGCTGACCTACCCTCCGCGTCACCCCGCGGACTTTCCACCCCAGCCCTTCTTACAGAGAAAGCGTCGCCACCCCCAGTGTCCTCCGCCGGGCGCCCGTCAGTGGCTCCCTCAGTGCTAAATAAGGCGACCCCTGGCTCGGCATGGCCCCCGCCCCCCTTTCGGTCCCAGCTAAAGTCTCTGCAAAACGCCCAACGCTCACCTGCTTCCGCTTTGCAGCTGCTGCGTTTGCAAGCCCAGCCGAGACGCAGCGCCGGCTCGGGCTCGCCCCGC